TTGACCGGAATTGGGGATATTAACCCCTTGCATTCGGTGGGTATCTCGCTTAATCTAATTGTTGCTGACAAAGCTGATATATCACAATTCTGATTGGAACATCATGGAAAGTTGATATATCACAGAAAGCTAATCGCAATAAATTTGCCAATCTCTAGTATATATCCTTAACTTTGTGTTATTAAAATGTCAATAAAAAATTCGTACATCACAGTTGATTGTCGACCACTACTTTCGAGACATTAATCGTGAATTAAAAGATCCCAACAACGGTTGTGATTACATGAGATAAATTAGACCGACTTTCGCTTTTCCACTTCTAATCCGCAAAGTCCAGATTCGCGAGAGACAGTAGTTGCTTTATTGAGTTCTTAGCGGCAGACATAACGCATCGATAAAGGCATGACTATATATCTCGGCAAAGGGAGGACAGTCATTAATGAGACACTTTCTATCTGCCATGAGTACAACCTTCTAGATAAGCAGCTGGATACAGCGAACTACTATTCCTCGAGACCTCGTTACATTACGAATGAGTACGGAGCTGCAATATCTCTCCCCCACTCCTCCCCCCCTTTCTCTCTCTCTCTCTCTTTCTCTATCTATCTCTATCTCTGTTTCTGTCTCTATTGTGAAGCTGTCAGGGAGTTGTAATCTGTTACAGCCGATGATCTTTGACCGCGAGTTTGTGCGATTACAAAATAATCAGCGCCAAGTTTTAGTATGTTGGAAGTTCGTTTGAAAGAATGATTTGATTACGAGTTTGATTAACAAATTAAGTTTCCTCAGATATATTATTAAGTATCTTACATACAATAAGCAAACATTGTCTTATCGATAGTATTTTTCCTGTACATTTTCCGAAGTACGACACACTCGGAAAAGATAATTACACTAGAGATTTAATAACAATAAGAGATATAAATCTTGGAAGAGCTGAGGTAATTCGCAAAACGAGAAGCAAATAAAATTACGATGCGGAAGCCTCACTCGCGCGTGATTCAGTGACGCGATGCGACAAGCGGTTGTCGGCTTTATTATCGAAGTATAGTGTGAGATCATGTTTATAAACGCGGCCCACGACGATGGGGAATCATCAGTTTCTAAAATTAGTATACGACCGGTCGTAAAAACAACGGCGGATTTTGGGGCCCCGAGAATGAATTGAGAACTCGTACTCCGAGTAATATGCTTTTCCAATTTCGGCAGATGTCGACGCCTAGCCTAATATCAAAGCCAAAGGAACGATGTTTAACATATGGGTCAGGAAGATGAGATAAAAGGGTCGGTTATGAATATTCCATACGGAGAAGCAGGTATTGAAACCTGAAAAAGAAATTACATACAAGATTCATCTTGTTTT